TGTGTTTCTGCTTTGCTGTCTAATCCTATGTTTCTATCTGATGGATCTAATAATAGATAAAACTAACTTGGATAAACTAAATGAGGTTCATGGCACAGAGTTTGGGACACAGGATGGTGGCTTGGTGTGTGTACATATTCTTCATGGGGACTGGAATGACGAGGAGTGGCTAGGATCCTGGAGTGCGGTGGGGAAATGTTCATATTCCTGGGATGCTAGCCAGTTGGGTCCAGCTTAGCAGGCTTTGAGCAAAGGTCTCCTGAGGTCTCCAGTGCCAAAGCTTTGCAGGGCACAGACCTGGATGGTCTCTGGCCATCTTCTAGCTCTCTAGTCTTTGCAGAGGGCTTTGGCACCTGGCCTCTAGGGCCAGTACCCAACTAGGCAGGCCCTGGGGCTCTTCTCATCCTGGATCAGCAACCAATATTCCTTGCTTCTAGCCAATTCCCCAGGGATGGTGGGAGCTGCCTCTTCCTCCTCTCTGAGTCTCCTCTCTGCTCTGGCTCTCAGATCCTTCCATCCCCATGGTGGGGCTGTCATTTTTCCCCAAGAGGGGGGCGGAGCTGGCTTGATGTCACAGGGTCTCCCATGGCAGTGGGCAAGGGCTGCCATTGGTGGGACTGTGGTAACAAAGAGCAGTTGAAAGGGGTGAGGCCTACAGCTCAGGACCAGCAACAGCTAGACTAAAATGTTATTATTGTTGTTGTTGTTGCTGTTGTTGGTAGTGGGTTTTGAACTCAGGGCCTGGGTGCTGACCCTGAGCCTCTTTGTGCTCAGGCTAGTGCTCTACCATTTGAGCCACAGCACCACTTCTGGCCTTTTCTGCTTATGTGGTACTGAAGAATGGAACCCAGGGCCTCATGCGTGCAAGACAAGCGCTCTACCACTGAGCCACCTTCCCAGCATAGTTTTCATTTTTAATAGTAGTGATTCTATGAAATTATCTTTGCTTGCTTGCTTCCTTCCTTCCTTCCTTTGTTTCTTTCTTTTTCCTCTCTCCCTCTCTCCCTCACTTCCTCCCTTCCCTTCCTTCCTTCCTTTCTTCCTTCCTTCCTTCGTTTCTTTCTTTTTCCTTCCTTCCCTTCCTTTCCTCATTTCCTTCCTTCCTTTTCCTCCCTCCCTCCCTCCCTCCTTTCCTTCCTTCCTTCCTTCCTTCCTTCCTTCCTTCCTTCCTTCCTTCCTTCCTTCCTTCCTTCCCTCCCTCCTTCCCTCTCTTCTCTTTCTCTCCTTTTTTCTTCCTTTCTCTTTCTTTTTCCTCTCTTTTTCTTTTTGGCAGTACTGGTACTTGAACTCAGGGCCTCACCCTCTTGCTTGGCTTTTTCCACTCAAGGGTGGCACTCTTCCACTTGAGTCACACCTCCCATTTTGGCTTTTTGCTGGTTAATTGGAGATAAGTGTCTCACAGATGTGTTTTCCCATGCTAATTTCAAATCATGATCATCAGATCTCATTTTAGGATGACAGGTAGGAGCTACTGGTGCCCAGAAAAATTATTCTTCAGAATGCATTTGTTGAAAGTAAAACAGTGAGTCCGTTGAAAGGAAAAGAAAATCAGGTAAATGATCGATGTAAATGGTATGCCCTAAGAATTGTAGACATGAAAAATGTGGCAAAAGTTGTAGTTGGGTGCTGGGGTCTGAAGATGCTAGATCCGTAGAGGAGCTGCTCCACACAGGAAGCAAAAGCTTGGAAAGAAATGGAGCTTTGATCATTGGCCCTCAAGTTACTATTAGAAAGTAATTCCTATTACCAGAGGTTGCCTTGAGGATGAAGTAAGACAATCTGATATGTACAAGAGCCATTTCATACTTTCAAACAACTAGCCTTTCTTTCTTTTTTGGTATGTCAATAGTAGGGCTTGAACTCTGGACTTCTTGTTCTTGCTTTTTTTTTTCTTTTCACTCAAGGCTGGCGCCTTACCACATGTCACCTTTTTGAAATTTCTACCTGAGCAGGCTCCTCAGATCTCAGCTTTCTGAGTAGCTAGGATTACAGGCACGAGCCACCGAGACCCAGTTTCCTGCCATCAGTCTAAAGTGTTAAGCAAGATGAATTGTTCTGGGCACTTTGGAATGAAGTTTACTGAGCGTGGGGCAGGATACTAGTTTCCTGGGACCTGAAGCTCATGATGAAGACAAGGTCTGGGTGTGTCGGGTCACCTCTGTTGCTTTGCTTTCCTCGTGGAGGATGAGGAGGTGGGTGATATGGTCTTCATGAAGGATCTGGGAGGGTGAGTGATTTTCATGATTGTGGCAGCAAGTGGCTTCTCTGGGCAAGTGTGAACTCTTAGTGTCACACCCCTCTGGGGCTTTTTGAAAGTGCCAGGTACTTGCCTACATTCCCAAAGTGATCGGGCAAATCACTATTGGCAGGACAGGAGGGTAGAGGCATAGCTCTCATTCTGAATACCCATTTGACTGCCCTTCTGCTAGCTCCTCCCACAGCCCCCAGAGCCCTGGGGAATGTCTCCTCCCTCCCCCCCATGAAGAATACTATCCTTTAGCTTGGTAGGGATGGAACTGAGTCCTTTATCCCCTCAAACTCCAAACCCCAATGAGGTGGTACACATACTCAGAGGTGGGTTCTTAGGAGGTCTTTAGGGTTAGATGAGGTCATACAGGTAAAATGCTCCCTCCCCCTCCCTCCGGGACATCAGTTTGCTTTTGTATGTGTGTGTATGCTGGTACTGGGGCTTGAACTCAGAGCCTAGGAATTGTTCCTTAACATTTTTTTGCTCAAGGCTGGTGCTCCACCACTTCAGTTGCAGCTCCACTTTCAGCTGTTTTGGAAGCTAATTGGAGATAAGAGTCTCACAGACTTTCCTGCCAGGATGGCTCTGAACTGTGACCCTCAGATCTCAGACTCCTGAGTAGCCTGGATTACAGGTGTGAGCTGTAGGTGCCTGACTTCTGTTTGCTTTCTTTCTTTCTTTCTTTCTTTCTTTCTTTCTTTCTTTCTTTCTTTCTTTCTTTCTTTCTTTCTTTCTTTCTTTCTTTCTTTCTTTCTTTCTTTCTCTCTCTCTCTTTCTTTCTTTCTTCCTTCCTTTTTCTTTTTTTTGTCAGTTGTGGGCCCTGAACTCTGGGCCTGGGCGCTGTCCCTCAGCTCTTCAGCTCAAGGCTAGTGCTCTACCACTTGAGCCAAAGCGCCACTTGCAGCTTTTTCTGCTTATGTGGTGCTGAGGAATCAAACCCAGGGCCTCAGGCATGCAAGGCAAGCACTCTACCACTGAGACACCTTCCCAGCCCTTCTGTTTGCTTTCTAAAAAGAGAAAGAAGACTTTGCAGCCAATGAAAGTACAAGAAGACAATTGTCTACGCCAGGAAGAAGGTCTTTACCCATAACCAAAATTGTTAATCTCTTGCTTTTGGACTCCCCGGTCTCCAGGATAGTAAGAAATACATGTCTGTGGAGCAAACCATGTAGCCTGTGGTATTTTGTTAGAGCAGTGCAAGAAGAATAACAATGCACTATTCTCTCTGCCAGAATCCATCTAATACCTTAAAAAAATATATTGGTTCTAGCAGTGTGGCTCACACCTGTAATCCATGCCACTCAGGAGGTTGAAGTCTGAGGATTGTAATTCAAAGTGAGTCTGGGCAGGGAAAACCCATGGGATTCTTATCTCCAATGAACCACCGAAAAGCCAGAAGTAGACATGTGACTTATGTAGTAGAGAACCCAGCCCTGAGCAAAACAGCTCAGGGAGAGTGCCCAGGCCCTAACTTCCAGCCCCAGGAACAAAATATGCTTCTTTATAATGTGTTACTCATTTTCGATGTGGATTTTTATTTAAGTCTTACATTGCTACGGGGAAGTCACTGATTATTGTGTTCCATTTTATGTATGTATATATATGTGTGTGTATTTATTTATTTGTGTGTGTGTGTGCGCACGTGCGCCCGCGCTGCTTCTAGAGTTTGAACTCAGGGTCTGGCTGCCGTCCCTGAGCTTCTTTTGCTCAAGGCTCATTGCTTTCCCACTCAAACCACAGCTCTGCTTTGGGCTTTTTGGGTAGTTGATTGGAGATAAGAATCTCAGGGACACTCCTGACTGGGGCTGGCTTTGAACTGTGATCCTCAGACCTCAGGCTCCTGAGTAACTAGTAGGATTACAGATGTGAGCCACTGGTGCCCGGCTTTGTGTTCCATTTTAAAGGTGATAGACCAAGGCTTTGAAGCTCAGGTGACTCAGCCCTTAGACCTAGTGTGTTCCAGACCTGGGTGGTGAACACTGTCCAGGTAGCCAGCCTCCGTGGGTGCCGATGGGGACACAGCTTAATTGGCTTTAAGAGGGCAAATGGGGGGGGGGGCCTTCCTGTTGGCTAGAGTGTGAAAGAGAGAATGGAGTTGGTCTGGCAGTCAGGGGAGTGGATGAGTGTAGGAAATACCCAGACAAAAAACCAAAAACATTTCCAGCTGCTTTGGTGACAAGGCAAAACCTTTAATAACATGAGTGCTTATTACATTAACTGCTTCAGGGCTCGGAGATCTTTGATTTCTGGTCAAGTTTTTCTAACACGGAGAAGGTGAACTACCTCCCTCAAGGGGCCACCTGGGTGGTTGGCCACCGGGAGAAGGCATGGGGTGAACACAATGGGGGGGAAAATAAAATAACAGTACAACGATGCCCATCTGATGGCGATTTTGACAAAACTCTGCCTCCCTCAGGCCACCACCTGTGACTCTGAGACACGTCCCCTTCCAAGGCGGGAAGAAGAACGTGGAGGTGCTTCCCAAAGGAAAAGAGGACACAGATACAGACAGACACACATGAGGAATGACACTAGAAATCGGCACAGAGGATAGGTCGGGACATGGGAGACTGAGGGATGGGTGGGGGGGAAGGCTTGAGTCCATTCATTTTTCTTCTTTGTAAGATGGATATACCATCACATGCCATGCAACCTTAGAGAGATCTCTGTGGACACTTTCCTGCCCCCCTCCTTTCCAATCCCCCCTCCCCCTCAAGACTGGGCTAGGTGTGGAGTGAGAGGTGTGGGAGGTGGGCAGAGGTCAGAGATCAGCTCAGACAGGCGTGGTGCGTCTGTTAGCTGGATTATTATGCAAAGACTCTTTGAACTCTTTGGGTGTGGAGTTGTGGAACTGTAGAAAAGCGTGGTCCCGATCCGAGTTGAGGAGGGTCCCCATGGTGATCTTTGAGGGGTCCCGGGAGAGGGTGAACATGGAGATGTCAGTAGAAGGGATGGTGTGGAAGCCTTTGCTGATCGGGGACAGATCTCGGGACCTAGGCTCAGTCGAACGAGAACTTGACCTTCTCCGGAATCGGTACCTGTAGGGTGGAAGGCGGGCGAAGGTGGATTTCTTCAGGAGCTCGGAGTGGGATTTGGCACGTAACTGCTGATGTTTCTCAATGTAGATGTGCACGGCTACCACCCCGACGATCTCGGCAATGATGAATGAGAAGGCTCCGAAGTAGAAGGACCAGCCGTAGGAATAGCTTTTCTTAGAGTCACGTTGCCCGGGGTCTCCTGCATTGGCTGAGATGTAAACTATGATGCCAATGATATTACTTAACCCTAAGAGAAGAGAAAAGCAAAACAAAACAAGAACACGTATTTGATCAACCTTGCAATGCTATGGCGAGATGGGTGACTAGCATATTCTGTTTTTACTTTTATTTACTTATTGGTGCCAGTCCTGGGGCTTGGAGCGGTCCCTGAGCCTCTTTGAGCTCAAGGCTAGTGCTCTACCACTTGAGCCACAGTGTTACGTCTGCCTTTTTTCTGAGTAGTTTATTAGAGATAAGAGTCTCACAGACTTTTCTGCCTGGGCTGGCTTCGAACTGAGATTCTCAGATCTTAAGCTTTCTGAGGAGCTAGGATTGAGCCACTGGCACCTGGCTACCTCTAGCTTGTTTTGCTCAAGGCTAGTGCTCCAGTTAAGCCATATCTCCACTTCTGCCTTTTTTGCTGGTTAATTGGAGATAAAAGTCTCTTAGATTTTCCTACCTTATCTGGCTTCAAACTGTGATCCTCAGATCTCAGTCTCCTGAGTAGCTAGGATTACAGGCATGAGCCACTGGCTCAATTGGTACTTTTAGCCTGGAGGTATTATTTATAGCAAATGTGGAGGTGACAGGGAGAGAGGAAAAGATAAGCTGGCTGGTAAATCCCACTGCTGAGCTCTTCCTATAAGTTCTGTTGTTTTGGGGAAACACAGACTTGCAGTCCTGGGCAGAGAGCATTCAGATACAACTTTCATCTTCTTCCCCCAGAAACAGCCGTCAAACCCAGTGGGCATTTATTTTCCCTTCAGAGCAATTAATTCCATCAACGCTTAATCCTTGGCACTAAACCATGGCAATGGAAAAATGGGCAAGACACAGGTCTTTGCCTTTGAATTCATTGCCATTAGTCAGAGAGAGACTCTGTGTGTGTGTGTGTATGTGTGTGTGTGTGTGTGTGTGTGTGTGTGTGTGTGTATTGGTACTGGCGCTTGAACTCAGAGCCTGGGTGCCATCTCTTAGCTTTTTGGCTCATGGTTGGCTACTAAACCACTTGAGCCACACCTCTACTTCCAGTTGTTTGCTGGTTAATCAGAGATAAGAACTTCACAGACTTTCCTGTCTGGGCTGGCTTCCACCTACGATCCTCAGTTCTCAGCCTCCTGAGTAGCTAGGTTTACAGGTGCAAGCACTTAGCACCTGGTGATAAGCAACCCTTTCTGAGAGCCTCCTGAGTCCTCCTTCCACGAACACTCTGTACTTCTAGACTATTTCCTAAGAAATAGCCAAGCAACTAAAGTGTTAACTCCAGGTCTGGCAGGCCCAGTCATCTGCTTTAGTGCTGTCATTTCGGTTGGCTGGTATAAGTCACTGGGATTATTTTGGATGGAACCACCCTGGTTATAGTTCAGGATCTGTTTGTGCCCTGCCCTCTCCTGCCATTGCATGGCCCAGACAGATAGGTCATTTAGGAGCTAGGCAGCAAGTTCTAATCACCTAGCTCCTTCGCTGCATGGGAGATGACAGACTCAACTCTGTCAGGCAGCTAACAGGCACAGGATGAAAAACAGCATCTCTTCCAGCAGTGCCAATTTAGCTGGAAGATTAGTGAGGAAGACACATGCTTTTATATTAAAATGAACATGGAAATAATAAGGAGGAGATAGCAGAATTCACATGAATTTTTTAAGTTGAATGGGAGGCAGACTTCAAAGACATTTCAGCTTACTGAAGGCAGCGTTGAGTGAGGCCCTTGCTTCCCCATAGCCATATTTTCTCTGCTAGCAGAGAAATTTTGGTGACTAAGTTGAGGAAGCAGCCCTCCCCCCCCCCCCCCCTTGCTGGGGAAGGAGAGAAGAGGAGAAAGAAAAGTTCGAAGGGAGAATCAAGTGTCAAACAAAGAGTGGACATCCATGTGAATTTCTTCTCTCTTTCTCTCTCTGTGTGATATATATTATCTATTTATATATCATCTGTTTAACACCTCTACTACTTATTATTTGTTCATCTGTCATCAATCAATCAAGAAAATGAATAAATAAAAAGAAGCGAGGCACTGGAGGCTCATGCCTGTAATCCTAGATAAGTGGGAGGCCAAGAAAGGAAGAATCATGATTTGAGGCCAGTCTGGGCAAAAAAGTCTTCGAGACTGCATCTCAACAGAAGGAAGCTGGATGAAGTGACACGTATCTGTCATCTCAGTTCAGAGATGGCAGGTAGCGAGACACTATCTCAAAAAGAACTAGTGCAAAAATGGGGCTGGAGGTATGGCTCAGTAGTAGGACACCTACCTAGATAGTTCAAGGCTCGGAATGCAAACCCCAGGATGGCCTTGAAAACAGGCCCTTCTTTTACATATGAGGAAACATACATAGAGCCATCAGGGAATTCCTATGTTGTCCTAGCTAAGAAATGATTTGAACCCAGGGCAGCCCCAGGGGCCTGGGATTTCAGTGACTAGCTTCAGGAAGAACTAAATGAGAGTAGACTGTAGCTTTGTTTCATTGTTCAGCCTGTGAACTCTGCAAGGGCAAGGATATAGCTTTTCTTATTTGTTGCTGTGGCCCCAGCTCCTAGTCCCCAGCCTGACCAAAGCAAGAGCTCTGTGTGTATTTGTTGAGTAAGTGAATGCTCTGTGCACAGTAAAGAGCCCTGAGTTATTGGGCACTGAATCCATCCTCAATACTGGTCTCTGTTCTCAGCATACTTTTATATATTAACTCATTTAAATTCCCTTAACAAACTGGATGCCAGTGGTTCTCACTTATCATCCTAGCTACTCACGAGGCTGAGATTGAAGAATCAATGTTCAAAGCCAGCCCAGGCAGACAAATCTGTGAGATTTATCTCCAATAAATCTCAGAAATGGAGGCATGGCTCAAGTGGTAGCCTACTGGCCTTGAGTTGAGAGAGCTCAAGGCCCTGAGTTCAAGTGCCAATACTCTAGATCCTCTGAATAACCTCAAGGGGTGGGACTGTCATGAGTTCTATTTTTTCAGATGGGGAAACTGAGGCATAGAGAGGTTAAGAGACTTGCCTAAGGTTACAAAGTAGAAAAATAGTAGAGCTCAGAGAGTTGGCTTCAGTTCTCAAGCTTTTAAGCATTGTACAGGAGGCCCAGCACATAGCACCTTCCTACCCTCTCATTCTATAGATGGGCAAACAGATTCCGGGGATCTCAGAGTAGATTCAAGGGAGAGGGTGTCTAGGATCAGACCTCCAAGCTCCTAGCTTTCCTGTTTCTGTGTGAACTAATGACTAATGAACTAATGACTAATCTGTCATGCCTGACAAGCCCCTATACTAAGACGGTAGCTGCTGACACCTTCCTCCCTTAACAGGCCCCTTGGAGACAAATGGATGACATTCTCTTGTTCTTTGCAGACTGTCAATTCAACACAGCATTGGAGCTGACTGTCAAGGTCTGCCAGGGCCTTGGTCTCAAAGCCAAGCAAGTCTTTGGGTTTGCCTTTTGTTAATATTTGCTCCCACAGAGCAGAGTCCAAAGCTACAGCCACCTTAATGGACCACATCTTCCCAGGGCAAGATGGCGGCTCTCTGCCTGGTGTGCAGCATGAGTAGGTTCCCAGAGACTCAGAGTGGCTTGCGGCTTCCCTTCTTCATTTTGCAGAAGAGACACCTGCTGGGGAAGAGTCTCATCAGGGGATCAGGGCTCTGGATTCCTGACTTGGCATCTCTTGTTGCTGCTTTTCCAAAATTAGAAGATAATGCTGGGCACCAGCGGCTCATGCCTGTAAATCCTAGCTACTCAGGAGCCTGAGATATGAGGATGGTGGTTTGAAGCCGTCTTGGGCAGAAAAGTCTGTGAGACTCCTATCTGCCAGTTAAGTACCAGAACACTGGAAGAGGAGCTGTGGCTCAAGGGGTAGAGTAACCAGCCTTGAGCAAAAGAAGCCCAAGGAAAGTGCTAGGCCCTGCTTCATTCACACTCCAGGACTGGCTTAACTTAATTAATTAAATAAATAAAATATATAATAAATAACTAAAGAATATAACATCATGTCTTTTATACTCAGTTTCCTTCCAATAACGCTAGGAAGCTGTTACTGTTCTTATTTGCTATGTCAAAGGTGAGAAAACTGAGCTACGAGAAGTTGGTAACGTTTCCCAAGGCTGCAAATGTAGAGAGCCTGGATTCAAAGCTCAATGCCTGTATCCTCTCCTCCATTATCTCGGTCTCAGTAGATACATTATACTATGGCAGCTCCTTTCCCTCTTGTTCCTGGTTCTTCTTTATGAGCTTTTAGTTACCTGTGGTTAACCACAGCTCAAAAAATGAAGGTCAGGCACCCAGGGAGGCTGAGATTGAGAGGATGGTGGTTCAAGAGATCCCCTCTCAAAACAGAGTTAGACACAGAGTCGGGTATCTATTAGCCTAGCTATCAGGGAGCCTAAGGTAGGTGGGTTGAGTCAGGGTGCATGCTGGGTAGCAAGGGAGATCCTTATCTGAAAAACAACCTGTCAGGAACAACACTGAAGACATGACTCAAGGGTAAGTGCATCTGGGGGGAAAGCAGGAGGCCCTGAGTTCAAACCCGAGCATCACCATAAATAAATTAATTAAATGAAAAAAGCTTCCCTGGGAAACTCTAGAAACAATTTGTATTTTATTTTATTTTTTGGGGTCCGGTCGTGGGGCCTGAACTCTGGGCCTGGGCACTGTCCCTCAGCTCTTCAGCTCAAGGCTAGCGCTCTACCACTTGAGCCACAGCACCACTTCTGGCTTTTTTCTTTTCGCTTATGTGGTGCTGAGGAATCGAACCCAGGGCCTCAGGCATGCAAGGCAAGCGCTCTACCACTGAGGCACCTTCCCAGCCCATAATTCGTATTTTAAATAACTTTTGTTTTAAATAACTTATCATGAGTGTTCTACTTTATTACTGTATTATAATATTATATATTGCTATTTGTGAATCTCTTATTGTATCTAAATTTTTTTTTTTCTGGTCCTGCGGCTTGAACTCAGGGTCAGGATGCTAGCCCTGAGCTCCTTTTGCTCCAGGCTAGCACTCTACCTCTTGAGCCACAGCACCACTTCTGGCTTTTTCTGTGTATGTGTTACTGAGGAATCGAACCCAGGACTTCATGCATGCTAGGCAAACACTCTACCACTAAGCCACATTACCAGGCCTTCCTCTGGCTTTTTCTGAGTGGCCTATTGGAGATAAGAGTCTCATGGACTTTCCTTCCCTGGCCTGGCTTCTAACCATAATTCTCAGATCTCAGCTTGCTGAGTAGCTAAGATTACAGGCATGAGCCTGTAATTATCATTTTTTATTCTAATGAAATTCTTAGCTGGTAGCTGGTGGCTCATGCCTATAATCTTAGCTCCTCAGGAGGCTGAGATCTGAGGATTGCGGTTTGAAGCCAGCCTGGGCAGCAAAGTCTGTGAGACTCTTATCTTCAATTGACCACCAGAAAACCAGAAGTGGCGCCATGGCTCAAAGTGGTAGAGAGCTAGCCTTGAGCAAAAGAGCTCAAAGACAGCATCCAGGCCTTCAGTGTAAGCCCCATGACTGAAAAGAAAAAAAAGAAGAAATTCATTTTTTGCCCAGAAGGAACCCTGAACAGCATTGTTTTGTCCATGGGGCCCTTGACCTCAGTGTGGTGTCCAGGAAGAGCTGGCATAAGACGCTCACCTGCGGAGACGAAGAAGATGCCCGCGCTGAGGATGACGTTGTGTCTGCTGCGGTGGAACTCACTGGCCGCCACACAGAGCCCCCCGAAGAACAGCAGCGTGACGCTGAGGATGGGGAAGACACTGGAGGCCCGCACAGCGCCTGCAGGCAGGAGAGGAGAGCTGTCTGCCCGCACCCAGCCACTCCTGGGGTCCTCCTAACGCTGGCATCGGGTGCCACAGGAAAGAGTCCAGGGATGGATGGCACTACACCAGTGTCACCAACCCGGAAGATCTAACGCCAAGGGTCAACAATTCGCTTCCTCCCTCCCTCCCTCCCTCCTTCCTTCTTTCCCTTCCTTCCTTCCTCCTTCCTTCCTTTCTTCCCTCCCTTCTCTCCCTCTTTCCTTCCCTTCCTTCCTTCCTTTCTTGCTTGCTTACTTCCTTCCCTCCTTTCTCTCCCTCTTTCCTTCCCTTCCTTCTTTCCTTCCTTCCTTCCTTCCCTCCCTCCCTCCTTCCTTCCCTCCCTCCCTCCTTCCTCCCTCTCTCCCTCCCTTTCCTTCCTTTCTTCTTTCCTTCCCTCCCTCTCTCCTTCCTTTCTTCCTTCCTTCCTTCCTCCATTCTTTCCTTCCTTCCTCCCTCCTTCCTTTCCTTCCTTCCTTCCCTCCTTCCTTCCTTTCTTCCTCCCTTCCTTCCCTCCCTCCCTCTTTCCTTCCTTCCTTCCTTCCTTCCTTCCTTCCTTCCTTCCTTCCTCCCTTCCTTCCTCCCTTCCCTCCCTCTTTCCTTCCTTCCCTCCTTTCTTTCTTCCTCCCTTCCCTCCCTCCCTCTTTCTCTCTGTCTGTTTCTCTTTCTTTTTGTGTCATCAGGGGCCCGAGTGCTGTTTTTAGTTTATTTGCTCAAGGCTGGTGCTCTACCATTGGAGCCATAGCTCCATCTTGCTGGTTAACTAGAGACAAGAATCCCATAGGATTTCTCTGCCTGAGCTGACTTCCAACTGTGATCCTCAGGTTTCAGCCTCCTGAGTAGCTAGGGTTATAAATGTGAGCCATTGGTACCTGGCTTAGGGAAGGAAACATTTTTGTCCTGTATTTTGGAGCTAGGACTCTGGGATGTTCCTTTGGTATTGGGACCTGCAGATGACATAGCCAGCCTTAAACGCGGAGACTGCTATCAGATTTCGAGCATGTGCTGCGTAGCACAGAGCTGGACAGCACCCACTTACATCTGTCTAGTAACTCAATGAACAAATGAATTGATTTGTAATTTCTTCGGGGGTGGGTCAGGGAGGGTCACAGCTCCCTGGGCTCAAAGCTAAATTTGTATTCTTCAGTGTTCTAAGTTTTAACCCTATAAGCTCGGATGGGCTGTTTCCATTTGCCAGCCATGAAAATGTGCTCAGACCCAACCACGTAGCTCTTTCTTCTGACAGCTCTTTCTTGAGTGGGTTCATGTTTGCATGCTTGTCTGTCAGAAGTTTGGCCACTGCTGTAGATAAATGGAGATCATCCAAAAGAGAGATGGGAAGACGGTGGAATTTACAGAGGGGCGACGTGTGTGTGTGTGTGTGTGTGTGTGTGTGTGTGTGTGTGTGTGAGTTCTCTTAAATCACAAAAGACCAAGGGGGCTACATTTGTTTCAAGGTGGCTCAGTGTGGCGGTGGGTGTCAGGGGCAGAAGGGCTGGGGTGGGTGGCTGTGGGGGCTCAGGGCTGCCCAGCCTCCAGCACTGTAAGCTACATAAATATCTATTCTTTATAAACCATCTGGTCTCGGGTATTTTGTTATAGCCACAGTGAGTGAGGTGAAGACATAGGCATCTGAGCTGCACACGAAGATGAGGAAGAACCCCCATTTTGTCAGGGCTGTGAGGCAGCATAAATTCCTAGACAGTAAGGAGAGTTATGAAGGAAGGTGACCTTCGCTTTCCCTCCTTAGCCTTGGCTCTGTGCTGTGGTTCTTGGCGAAGCTAAGTGGACTGGGAGATGGCGGTGAGGGGAGACGAAAGGGGAGAGGACCCCATCTTCCCAGAGGGAGGACAAATGTTTTGTTGGAAACGCCATCAAACTCTCCAAATAAAATCAATTTTGCGAGTTGTGGAATGAAAGTCCTATTTCCGTTTATCTCCAACGGGGCAAACATCAAAATGCTCCTTTCAAGTCGAAAAGATAAAGGATGACATCCTGGTAAAATCCCACAGACTTCAAAGCTATTCTCTTTCCAGGGGTCCCAGGGACTCCTGTCATCCTCCAGTCTTTCTTCTCTCTCTCCCACCTTCCCTCCCTCCCTTCTTCTTTCTCTCCTTTATTCCCTCCTTCATTTCTTCTCTTCTTTCTGCTTTCCCTGCCTCTTTCTCTTCCTTCCTTCCTTCCTTCCTTCCTTCCTTCCTTCCTTCCTTCCTTCCTTCCTTCCCTCCTTCCTTCCTTCCTTCTTTTCCTCTCTCCTTGCCTCTTTCATCTCTTCCTCCCTCCTTCCTTCCCTTTCTCCCTTCTTTCTTCTCTTCTCTTTCTTCCCTTCCCTTCCCTTCTTGTTCTCAAGGTTGAACCCAAAGACTCACACATGCTAAGCATATCCTCTACACTGAACTCCACACAAACAGAGCCAGAATAGGACTTTCCATATATAATCATAATTTTAAAAATAAAAGCACCTTAAATCTAACACAGCTGAATAATCAATGCCTTTGGAATTTGTTCATGAACTCAGCACATGTTCTTGAAAAAAAAAATTACAGGGCTGGGAAGGTGGCTCAGTGGTAGAGTGCTTGCCTTGCATGCATGAGGCCCTGGGTTCGATTCCTCAGCACCACATAAGCAAAAAAAAAAAAAAAGAAAAGAAAAGAAAAAACCTGGGAATGGCGCTGTGGCTCAAGTGGTAGAGCACTAGCCTTGAGCTGAAGAGCTGAGGGACAGCGCCCAGACCCAGAGTTCAAGCCCCACGATCGGACCCCTCCCCCCCAAAATTACATTTAAATCCAAATCAAGTTCTCTCTTTGCTCAGACCCAGGTAAAGCCCACATCTATAACTGACTTTGCTGTCACTAATCCCAAATGACAAGCCAGAACTGACATATATTTCCTCATGATTACATGTTGGGCTTGGGGCAAAGTATAAGATACATTAGCTTGTTTGTTTTTCATGACCCTGTCAGATAGATGATACTAGAATCTTGATTTCACAACAGGAGAAGAAAGCTAGATCTAGGACTCAAGCAACTTGCCCTAGGTCAAAATCAGGTCAGAGTTGAGATAGACCAGATTTCAGAGCTCTTGGTAGAAGCTACCACAGTTTTCTGGCTCTGGGTTCTGTGTTTGTAACAGTTTATGGTACATCCGGGTTACTGACGTTTGCTAAGTCCCATGGAGACCCTGGCCTCATCCCAGTTGAACTGAAACAGAAGAGAGGCCCAGGAGAGGTGAACTGTTCTCATTTCTCCTTCCAAGCCTCCACCCGGGGGAACTCACCCATTAGCACCTCATCCTTTAGCACCTAGCCCATTAGCACTTTCTCAGATCAGCCCTCCAGGGAAGAAAGTAAAAACTTGTAAGGAGTTGAAAATTCCTTAGATTTTTTTTTTTTCTTCTCCTAAGCGGACTAAAAAGAACCTTTCCGTTTTGACTAACCTACTTTTTTCCTTTCCTCTTTCTAAATCATCAAAATGTAAGAGACACAGAAACCCAGAACCACGTGTCTACCACTTCACCAGAGACACCAGCAGCGCTTTGCATTTCCAGATGGATGGTGGTGGTGGTGGTGGGTTCCATCTCTGAGGCCTGTGGACAATGGCTGGGGGGAGGGAGGTATCTCTCCCCCACAACCTCCTTCCTCCCCTAACCCTGGAAACAGGGGTGAGACTTACGCAGGAGATACTCAGCTGTGTCCTGCTCGTAGTCTGCATCCTCGGGAAAGTGATCGATTTTCTTGCACACGCCTCGGAAAGTACCTGTGGGAATAAATGTGGTGTTGAACTCAGTGGGAGAAGGCAGTGTCCCCGGGGGCCCCCAGCCTGAGTCCTTCACCCTGTAGCTCACACGTGTCCCTGGACTGGGGGAGTGGGTGGGCTGTGCATAGGGAAGCCCAGCAGCAACTGTGTTTGATTTAGACACCAAGAAGAGCTTCTTGCTATACTTTGCATCGAAGTCCTGGTCAGTGGGAGGAAGGAGGAGGAGGAACCTTCAAAGAAGAGGCCTAGTGGGAGGAAGTTAGGTCATGGGGGGAATGGCTCTTGAAAGGGATTTTAGGACTCTGGCACTCTCTCTCTCTCTCTCTCTCTCTCTCTCTCTCTCCATCTCTTTCCTCCCTCCCTCCCTCCCTCCCCTCCCTCTCTGCTTCCAGGCATCCTGAAGTGAGCAGCCTCACTCCACTGTGTGCTCCCTGCCATGAGGTCCCGTCTCACCTCAGCCCAGGCCCTAAACAACAGCGCTGACCAACCATGGACCAAAACCTCTGAAACAATGACCCACCCAGAACAAAACTTTTCCTCATTGAAAAGTTGACCAAACCGGGGCACTGGTGTCTCAAGCCTGTCATTCTAGCTACCTAGGAGGCTAAGATCAGAGGATTGTGATTCAAAGCCAGCTCGGGCAGGAAAGTCTGTGAGACTCTTATCTCCACTCAAACTACAAAAACAAAAGCTGGAAGTAGAGCTATGGTTCAAAGTGGTAGATTGGTAGAATTGAGCAAAAGAAGGGACAGGCTCTGAGTTCAAGTCCCGGGACTGGCACCAAAAAAAAAAAGAGAAGTGAATTATCTCAGGTATTTCTTCACAGTGACACAAAGCTAAAGGCAAATACACACACACACACACACACACACACACATACATACATACATACATACATTTTAAATAAAAACAACTGAGGGTGTGACTCAAGTGGTAGAGTGCCCTCCTAGCTAGTACAAAGCCCTGAATTCAAACCCCAGTGCTGTAAACAAAACAAAACAAAAACACCTAAAAATACTCCAAAGTGCCCACAAGTTAGTAGTTTGAGTCTTAGTTGTTCAGGAAAAAAAAGAACTTTCTTTTCTTTTTCCAAAACATACAAGGTTAAGCCAGGTGCTGGTGGCTCATGCCTGTAATCCTAGCTACTCAGGAGGCTGAGATCTGAAGATGTGGTTCAAAGCCAGCCTGGGCAGGAAAATCCATGAGACTCTTTATCTCCAATGAACCACCAGAAAACCAGATGTGGAGTTGGGACTTAAGCAGTAGAATGCTAGCCTTGAGTGGATAAAGCTCAGGGACAATGCCCAGGCCCTGAGTTCAAGCCTCAAAAAGAAAAGGAAAGAAAAGAAAATAGAAGGCTACAATATTCTGCTTTTCGTTTATCACGGGCAGTCGGCCCCTATGTAGATGAAGGATCTAGGCAGCAGACACACTAAGTGGACCCCATTGTCTTATATGTTATGCCCCCATTTGCCAAGAGAAAAAGGATGTGGAACTTAAGGATATTGATTTATCTTTCCATTTTACAGAGGAAGCATCAAGGATTTTGCATGCAATCATGCAGAATTCCAGGAGAGGTCTGTATCCAAGTATTGTGGAGTCATCCACTCTGGCCAGCAGTGCTTGGCTCTGAGCAGGAGCCTTCCTCTCCCATCTCCCCAGACAAGGACCCCCTAGCTTGCTGTCCCCTGCTGTGTGGCTCAACCACTAGGGACATGCAGAATTTCCCAAGACAATTCTGTCTCTGTCTCAGAGAAACCATCTGCATTTTATTTCCTTTCCTTTCTCTAGCATAAATGTGACTTAACTGATTATGTATGTGTTAGATAATCATTGTGGTGTTTATTAACTAGCCAATTAACCAATCTCTGGGGCACTTAATGGCTCTGTCAGTTCTTATAAATGACAAACAATATTCAGGATGTCTCACCAGAACACAATAGGAAATTATGCATTCCTGTTCTCATTCCTCTCTGCAAAGACTTTGGGGAGGTGAGGAGTAATATAGAGTGATTGAAGCAGCACGATGAAGAATCAGAGGTGGGCGAATGTCTCCAAGAAGTCATTGTAAGGGTGAAGCAAGGTGCCAGGGCGCTGGTGGCTCACGCCTGTAATCCTAGCTACTCAGGAGGCTGAGATCTGAGGACTGCGGTTCCAAGCCAGCCCAGGCAGGAAAGTCCGTGAGACTCTTATCGCCAATAAACCACAGAAAACCGGAAGTGACACTGTGGCTCAAGTGGTAGCCTTGAGCTGAAGAGCTGAGGGACAGTGCCCAGGCCCAGAGTTCAAGCCCCACGACTGACAAAAACAAACAAGAAACAGATCTGGGACAGAAGATACAAGTAATCGTTGAAAGAAAGACATATCCATGACAACGTCCCTAGTAGCCGATTAACACAAGTTGACTTGATAAATTTAGTAATTGGCACACATTGCAAGTTGACTGTAACCCCCTGCAACATTCTAAGCCTTTCCATGTTTTACATCAGTGGCTCCCAAAACCTCTGCTGTTACAATCCCTATTTTATAAGTGAGGAAACTGAGGCTTATTAAAGTAAATGGGTCTCTCAAGGACACGGCTCCTACAGGGTTCATTCAAGCGTGGGTCTGGCAGACTCCATAGTCCAAATTCCTATGGATTTAGAAATAGGCGCAGAGTCTTTCCCCATTAACTGTGCCTTTTCTACTTCAGGGGCTACTGGGCAGGGCAGGGGGCTTGCTAGGGATCCCCACCTCACTGCTTGACATATTCCATGGAAGATACCTTGGGAAGAAAAGGCTGATGGGAAAGATGGGATTAGAACTCCCTTAAAACAGATGTGTTAGTAGCTAGGATATGGAAACAACCCAGATGCCCCACCACAGATGAATGGATCCAAAAATTGTGGTATCTATACACAATGGAATATTATGCAGCCTTTAGAAATGACAAAATAATGGCATTTGCAGGGAAATGGATGGAGCTAGAAGGAATCATGTTGAGCGAGGTAAGGTAAGCCAAGAGCAAAGAGACAAACGGTACATGGTCTCCCTGATAAGTGGATGCTAAATCCAAAATGTTAGGTGATACGACAAAACTAACAGGACTTAAAAAACAAAGAACTCCCACTCATCTGGTCGAACCACTACTAAATATCCCCATGCTGCTGATCGCATGTATGGTGTATAACATGTGAACACCGTTATATGTTACAGACTGTGATAGACAATTTGCTCCAGGAAAGTTAGAATGAACTTGTGACTTTAAATGAGCACCATTATTCCACAATACTGTGAAATTCCGGAAATTATGTAATCACTTAATCACAATCAAAAAAAAAAGAACCTCGGGAAGGGAGGGAGGGAGGGGATGGTAGGGGGAAAACAATGGAGGGGGTAACAATGTTCAAGAGGAAGTGTACTCATTACCTCACTCATGTAACTGTAACCCTCTGTATAGTATCTTTACAATATAAAAAAAATCTTTATAAAAAAAAACCTATTGACATCTACATTTAAAATAAGTGGACTTCTTTGCATTATGGAAACAAACAATAGTGCTAAAATAAATAAATAAAATTGCAATCCTAAAAAAACAAAACAAAACAGGTGTGTTAGAATGCACTTATGCCTGTATCAGCTTGTGGAACAGGCCTGCTCAAGGTGACTCAAGGTGACTCAAGGCAGCTTGGAAGTAGGACTGAGAATCAGAAAACACCAGAAGGTTCTAGATACTCCAGTGTCACCACCTTCCTGTTTTCCCACAGCCTATGAGCTCTACCCACTTGAACCACACCTCTACTTCTGGCTTTTTTTGGTGATTAATTGGAGTTGAGTCTCAAGAACTCTTCCTGCCCAGGTTGGCCTCTAAGTGCCTCAGATCTCAGCCTCCTGAGTAGCTAGGATTAAAGATAGGAGCCACCAACACTTGGCTACTCTCTAGTTCTTTAAGAACTGCTTTGTTGCTGGATGCTGGTGACTCATGCCTGTAATCCTAGCTACTTTGGAGGCTGAGATAAAGGTCTGCCTGGGCACAGAGGTTCATGAAACTCAGACCTAGGTTTTTGTGTGTGTGTGGTATATTCTTATTATGCCAAATGACATAGGCAGCTGAGAATTGGAGGATCCAGGTCAGTCTAGGCAGAAAAATTCTAGACTTTTCATCTCTGCAAGGGAAGATGGACATGGCAGCAAATAGCTTTTATCTCAGCAAGGATGGGAAATCTAAAGTAGTTGGATTGTAAGTCAGGGCCATGACTTGGCAGGAAGTGATACTCTATCTCAAAAATATAGCCAGCAAAAAACAAGGGTGAAGGTATGGTTCAAGTGGAAGAGCACCTGTCTAGAAAGTGTGAAACTGTTAGCTTCAACTCTAGTACTGGTAATAAAAAAAAAAACAACAAAATTTCCTCAACGCTCCCTGGTCTAGTGATCTCTGCTTTCTGAAGACACAAGAAGAATGTGAAAAGGAGTTTGTCCTCTCTCCTAGGATGGCACTAGAGGGTTAGCCTGGATAATGTCCCCTGTTCCTGCAAGTAAGGACCAGGCTTTGGAGTTAGTTACACCTTAAATCCATCCTGACTTGGTCACTTGCTAATTAGGGTACTTACAGCAAAGTACCTCTGCCAACTCAGTTTCTCCTTCTAGCACAGGACAATAAATAAGAGCAAATTTGTGGAGGATTCACTGAGCAGCACTAGTTGCTGTTCTCAGCATTTTATACATAAATTGTGTGTGTGTGCGTGTGTGTGTGTGTGTGTGTGTGTGTGTGTATGCCAGTACTGAGGCTTGAATCACAGCACTGTGCCCTCATTTGATTTTTCCTCCTCATTGTTGGCGCTCTATCTCCTGAGCCACAGCTCTACCTCCAGCTTTTTTTGCTGGCTAATTAAGGATAAGAGTTTCACAAACTTTCCTGCCTGGATTGACTTTGAACCATGAGCCTCAGAGCTCAAACTTCTGAATAGTTAGGATTATAGGTATGAAGCACTGACACTTAGCTACATAATTCTTTTTTTTTT